GGTAAATTTAGCACTGAAGATTGAAGGCAGGATTGGATTAGAACCGCACAACATCAACTGACAGGCTGAACTCGTCATTCGTCACTCGTTTGTGGTCGGTGAAAGTGACGTAACAGATTTATTACATATATATTTTTTTCTTTTTTCTTTTTTTTTTCTTTACGGGAGTTCAAGGGTTGCCGCGTCGAAAAGCTGAGGCTGCTACAACTGCAGCCACAGGCATTAACCATGGCTCATAACATACGATGGAATAGTACTTTAGATATGCTTAAAGCCATAATCATCATAAACACTAATCAAATAAAGACACATGGAGTATTCTTTTTTCAGTCGCATTATTGAAGCGCAGTATGCACATTATGTTGTGATCAAGTGCTTTTACTCAAAATAAATATGTAGCCTATTATGGTTTACTATTGATTGGTAAAGCTAAAAACTAAAATGCAGTCCAAAATCTGCCTGTGTGCACTGCTTAGTGCATGTAGTTGCTTTTGTTTGGTCTCTAGCTAAAACCATTATGTGTGTGTTCTATTACTAAATTCCTGTGTATTGAATTGTATGGCCTTGTTACTGTTTTAAATCTAGCTGTATTTGGAATTAGTAATTACTAAAATTATTAATTAAAATTATTAGTTAGTAAAAAAGTATATACGAAGAATTGTCACTGGTAGGATTAAGTTTGTGGCACTAATCTGACTTTACAATAAATATTTAAATGTAAACTTTTTTTATTATTTGTTTAATGCAATGAATTTCTAACATTTTTTAAGAGGAAAAGATCATTACAAACCATGTGCAAAAGATGTACATGATAAATTCCAGTCACTTTTCATGTATATTGCCATGTTATTGTTATAATGTGTTTTTTCCGCACTTATTCTTGTAATATTAGTTAAAAATGAATTAATGAATGATGTTTTCTGTTTCTTCAGTTTTTAAAGAGGCTCATGCTTGAAGCAAGTTTTCCATCTGGCTCTCCGTCAAACAAACCAATTCCCATCGAAGACGCTAATGTTGGAGGGCACAAGATTTCAACTTCACTATATTTTTTTTTACTATTTTTTTGTCTCTTCATTAAATGGAACAACTCAAGTCTGAGATACAAACGATGAAGAGAAGTTACTGACAAGATCTTCTACATGTTCTTCTAACTGCATATCTTGAATATATTTTTACCAACCATAGATACTGTTTTAAATGACAAGAGAAATACAAGATGTTACAACCAGCACTACTGTACGATTCTCTTCAAAGAGTTATATTCGCCATTGTGTTTTGTAAAAACAGCACAAGTACAAAGACTCATTCCATTGATGTTTGTCTTATTCCTAGATATTGTTTGTCTTAGCTAATTGTTGGAAAGTGAAACTTTCTGCCAAAATTGACAAGTGTTTCTTATCCGATCATTGCCAAAAAAATATATATATATATCTGTCCTAGTGTGAAAAAGATGTCACTTTATAAATGTAGTCTAATTTAACAGTTTGGTCTGTTATTTTTGAAACGTGTGTCCTGTGTAAATATTGTTTGAAAAGAGAAGATATTTTTTTGTTTTTTTCCAACAGATGAAATTTTTTATGAGGCTGGTATTGATTATGCAAACTGACAAAACTGTATTTATAAAATATAAATAAAACATTTGCAGTACTTGTTTATTTGACCAGGTTTTAAATATTCAGAGGACATGGAATGCTTGAATTGTTTTATTATAAACTATTTTAAAAAGGTAAACATGAAATCTATGAAAATAAATTGGACACACACACACGCACACACACACACATACACACACACACACACACACACACACACACACACACACACACACACACACACACACACACTTTTGTATTGTATACATCATTAGTGGGTAAACTAAAACTTAGTTTGACAGGTTTGTTAGAAATGATGTGCCCTCAGTTTTGTTTAAGAAACTATTATCCTTCATTTGTAAACGACTACTGTATCTCCTAAATGAATAAATTGAAATTTAGTGTTTATTTGCCATTAAAATAAAATGTTGTTTTCTTTAAGCATTTTTTATGTATTCATTTATTTGTTTATTTTGCTATAATTTAAGTATTAGTTTCACAAGGTCTGTGAGTATGTTTTCTCAACAATAAAAATGTAACTGTTTTCATAAAGATCATCTGTAGAACTGACTAATAATTGAACTGTATTATGCATTTAAGGCCAGTAGATGGAGGTGCAATTTTTGTATAAAAAAAAAACAACAACAACTCTGCACATTCTCGATTATTTGAGGTCTTTTTTGGTTGTAAGGTACTTGCAAATCCCGTACAGTAAAAATGCTCTTTTAGTCAAAAGTTGGGTCCAATATTGAATCATTTTCATAATATTTGTATTATTATATACCCAGCTGTTGATTTTGTCCACATTGGACCCAAATTAGATTTTTTTTTTCTATCAGCATTTCCATCAGTAAACACAATAGACCTATGCAAACGATATTTTTGACGAAAATAATTTTTAAAGTTTACATGAAGATGGTAATGGTGACATTTTAAAAAACATGAACTTTCAAACGTTTTTCTCGTCTTGCTGGTACCATTTTTTATTCTGATATGTAAAGAAAAGCTTTAGCTTTGTAAATAACCTTATTTGCTTACAAAGGGTACATATTGTTCCTTGAAAATTGGCTACGTTAGATAAAAGGTACATTTTAGTTTTGTCTTAAAAGATTGAAATTCATAAACATGTTTGAATGTAACATTTGCCATTTAGTTTCACTTTATGTCTACACATAGCAATGTGGCAATAAAGCTTGAGTTGACTTGAATAATGGCCTAGAGCAAGGGGGCCCAGACTTAGTCCTGGAGGGCTGGCGTCCCGCAGATTTCAGCTCCAACTTGCCTCAACACACCTGCACAGATGTTTCTTGGAAGCCTTGGTTAGCTAGGCCAGGTGTGTCTGATGGGGGGGACACCAGCGCTCCAGGACTTTGTTTGGGCACCCCTGGCCTACACTAAAAACATGTTGTGTTTAGATAGTTTTGTCTTTGGTGTAGTTGCTATTTTTCTCATTTAGCAACGTGAGGACAATTGTAAGAGTTGATTAAATATCCATATAATGTTGACAAACCTTTTTTCTGAGCATTCATTTATTTAATGTTGTAATTCTCTGATTAACATTTAATTATATGATACAAAGTATTATTTAAAGAGCTTACAAGACTAGGGTGTTTTTCCCAGTTGGTCTTATTTGCATAAAGAAAAAGATTTAGAGAAAAAAATTCTCAAAAAACATGAACTTTCAAACGTTTTCACTTCTTGCTGATTTCATTTTTTTATTCTGATATTTAAAGAAAAGTTTAAGCTTTGTAAATAACCTTCTTTACATATGGGGTACATATTGTTGCTTGAAAATAGGCTACTTTAGATAAAAGGTACATTTTAGTAACTCTTAAAAGAGTGAACCCTAGTATTTTTATTATTAGTATTTTGTACCTTAGTTTTTTGAAGTTTTTTTTGAAGTTTTTGAAATTCATAAACATATTTGAATGTAACATTTGCCATTTCATTCCACTTTATTTCCGCACATGGCAATGTGGCAATAAAGCTTGACTTGACTTGAATAATGGCCTAGAGGAGGACACCAGCACCCCAGGACTGAGTTTGGGCACCCCTGGCCTAGACTAAGAACATATGTTGTGTTTGTAAGAGTGGATAAAATATCTATATAATGATGACAAACCTTTTTTGTAAACATTCATTTATTTATTGTTATTATTATCTGATAAACATTTCATAATGTGATACAAAGTCTTATTTAAACAGCTAACAAGACTAGGGTGTTTTTCTCAGATGGTCTTATTTGCATAAGGAAAGAAATTGAGAGAAAAAGTTCTCACCGTATAAAAATACAAATACAGATTTTTTTTAGCTAAGTATGACTAGCATTTAAAGGTGCTGTATGTAAGTTTTGACTTCTAAAACATAAAAAATATCATAATATGTTTGCAGATATTTAGGAAACATGCTAAGTTAACATTTTTGTTTATCTGAAAAACAATGCTAAAGTAAGATATTCTCCTTTGAAAATATGCTTTCCGTGCCGGAAATCTGTCTTTGTTTTTTTTTTTTTTTTTAACACACCCAATGCCAGTTTAGCCAATCATATTTCAGCACTCTGGGTTGCCTTGTTTGAAAACCGTGTATTTGATTCATTCAGTCATGAAGGCTCTTAAAGTATGAGTCCACGACTAAAATGTGGCCTCCAGTGGACAGTAGCAAATGATGTGAAGAAAAAAAGACTCCGAAATGAGACGCAGATTCAAAGTTTCACATGAGGTTGTTAATTAGCAAATAATATTACTATAACAAATGTATAAACATTATTATTATAACCCTGGGCCTAACAACATGCTACATGATGAGATTTGCAGTGATAAGCAATATAGCTGTTTGCACCAGACGAAACACGACAGAATTTTAAAAACAGCCATTCAGAAGCAAAGAATATGCACTTGCTCACGTAATAGTAAGGTTTAAACTCCAATTAATACATATTAAACCTCTTTAACATTGTATGTACATGCTGAATGATTGTTATTTGTTTAATTTTTGCACTGAGCACTGAGTTACAGTTTTAAAGGTCAATTTCAAACGATTTATTTTATTTTTAAGATCTGAGGTGAATCTATCTGCAGTAGTGAAAAGTTAGTAAATGGTTCAAATCAGCCTTTAGGCTTGATATTCAGGCACAGTCACGTCAATCTGGCAACCTGCCTTGGGTGTGTTTTGATCCAGGAGTGCAATACCTAGTACAACCACTGGGTGTCAAACTTACATACTGCACCTTTAAGTAACAAAATGTTTCTGTTTTTAAAGGATAACATGCTAAAATATAAAGCCAACTTCAAGTACAGGTTTTCTGTCATTAGCCATTTTGAACCACACTTTATTTGCTTTGATCAATTAAAATGGCTGACTTAAAAAAATCTCACAACTAAGAAATATCTAAGCCACAGCAGAGTGTAATTAGATGCAGTTGCACTCTTCTGGTATGATGTTAGGCAGGGTCTCATATTTGAATGAGTATCCCCCGTCTGAGGTGGTGGTGAAACGGAGTGACTTCATGCTCTCTGGAACAGGAGCGCAGCACTGGGTGATCCCAAGAATGGTGGTGATGCGTTCAGCGCTGGAGCAGTTGCCATGGCAGTAGTAGAAGGTGAACGATTTAGGATGAACAATCCAGTTGTTCCATCCAAGGTCTTCAAAGGAGATTTCAATCTGCTCTCTTCTGCAGTCAGTGCCCTGAGATGCAGGTCTTTTGAGATTTTCAATGGCATCTGGTGACCATGGAATTTTGGGTGCTCTGCGGGAGCGGTCAGGGCCACTTGAACGGGTGTGGAGGTGCAGAAAGGGTGTTTTGTCTTCTGAATCATGGCAACTGCAGGTTGGGCAGCGAATCTGTAGCATAAACTGACCATCAGCCATGGGAGTGTGAAGATGAACATCCAATTTATAGGTGGTCCATCCATCAGGAGAGCGTTTGACTGGACTTTCAGATGCTTTGAGGAGCTCCTTATTATGGGTGAGGATGAAAAGTGGTGCTGAGATGTTGATGGAAGCGATGGTCTCTCCGGCATAGAACCAGAAGTGTGCAGAAGTGATGATGGATTCCTGGCTGTCCAAAGAGGGCTGGAAATAGTATGTAAAGTGACCAGGTCCAGCATCAGAAGAGTGGCCAGGTATATCCTTGCATGTAGACTCTGAAATACATTAAGAAAGGTCAGAATCTGTGTAAGTGAATTATGTCATCATGATAAAATAATCATTCATTCATTTTCTTTTTGGCTTAGTCCTTTTATTAATCTGGGGTCGCCACAGTGGAATGAACCACCAACGTATCCAGCTTATGTTTTTCACAGCGGATGCCCTTCCAACTGCAACCCATCATGGGGAAATAAAATAATAATGCTGCTTTAAAAAAAGAAGAGTTAAAAGGGAATCATTCATTTATTCTTTTCGTCCAGCTTAGTCTCTTTATTAATCAGGGGTCGCTACAGCAGAATAAACTGCCAACTTATCCAGCACATGTTTTACGCAGTGGATGCCCTTCCAGCTGCAACCCATCGCTAGGAACCCATACACTCTCATTCACACACATACACTAAGGACAATTTAGCTAACCCAATTCACCTATATCACATTTCTTTGGACCCATGCAGACACGGGGAGAACATGCAAACTCCCCACAGAAATGCCAATGACCCAGCCAAGGATCGAACCAGCAACCTTCTTGCTGTGAGGTGACAGCACAGTCGCCAGTTAAAAGGGGTAGTTACACAGAAATTTAAATTTACTCACTATTTACTCACCCTGCCACTTCCAAACCTTCTAAAAACTTCCAAATTTCTTTTATCTGTTGAACACAAAAGAAGATATTTTAAAAAATGTAAGAAACTAGAAACCACTGACTTCCATAGTAGGAAGAACAAATACCATGGAAGTCATTTGTTACCGGTTTCTAACATTCTTTAAAATATGTTGAACTCCTTTTGAGTTCAACAGAAAAAAAAAAAAAAAAAAAACTTTAAGACAAATAAAAGGTGAGTAAATGATAACAGAATTTTCAATTTTGGGTGAACTATCCCTTTAGATGTTTGCGCACTTCAGCTGAAAACCCTGTCATGCTTTACTCAGTTTGTTTTACATCTATAAGACCTCAGTTATTATATAATTTTTCATGAAATTTGAGTGATTTCTGCCCCTTCAGTAAAAATCTGCAGTATTCTCTCAAAGCTGTTGCTTCAAAAGAAAATGAAAACAACAAAAAGGTTGTAAATAGATTTTTTAAATAAATGTGATATAAATGATAAGATTTGGAATGTTGTAAACACTGTTGATGATCAATGTTTATTTGTTATGAAATCTAAATGAACTCTGTTGATCAGGTTAAGTATTTGATAAATTTCTTTTGTTCCTCTTTCGCAATTCGCTTTATATAAAGTGTCTGATAAATGAAAAACTGCATGTATTATCAAATCTTAATTCTAAATCTACTAAACTAAACTAAAATGACGTTTTCAACAATATTAATTGATATAAAAATGTAACATGACAATAAGAAATGGCTACAAAATGTAAAAGTACAAATCATCTTTTGGAAGCTGTTTGGACAGAACTGTGTGTAGGTGTATTGTGTCCACTGTCATAGTGGAGTGATATGAACACAACAAGTGTCTTTTTTTTATTTCCAGATGTTAAAATAGACAGTTGCATACAGAAAGTCTTGTCTTGAAGATGATCTGCTTAATCACTGTAAAACCCATGCAATGCAGATACTAGGTTGGAATAAAGCACTATATCTCTTCATTTTGTTTTCATCCATTGCATGGCCTGTGAAAGTGCAACAATCTTTGTCAAATCGAGTTTTTTTTTTTTTTCAATAAATGTAGATTTGTTACTGTTCTCAGACCAAAGCAAGCCTAATTTTCCCGTTTTGTGCCACGTTGTTGAAATAGTAAATCCATTTGCGCCACTTTGTTGACTCATAGGTGTTCCAGTCTAGAAAGGAAGTGAGTTAAAGTGCATTGTAAGCTCGTTGCTATTTTTTTTTGTCAATATATTTTGTATTATTTTCACATCAATAATTTACAGAATCATTTCAGTTTACATGTAGACATTCTTTTCTAACCATCCTCCACCCTTTCCCCACCCTCACAAGACAGAACTCTTGGTGACACTTTATAATAAATACACACTATAAATCATTTATTAAGCATTAGCAAATAGTGAATTCATTATCTGTTAGGCATTAACTCTACATTACTAAACGTTAGTAAGCAGTTTATAACTGCAGCTACAAATGCTCTATTCTTGACTTTTTAGCACCTATATAATGTGGTTAATAATTGTATTTTCATACTCTGTTAATGATTTATTTTTCATTACTAAATTAAGTATTGAATTATTTACAAACCGTTTGTATTTAAGAGTAGTTGAGGGTTTTCAGGACCATTCAGAATGAGTTAGTAAAAGATTAATAAACTATTGAAATCAACATTTATATGTCTTTTTATTCAGGCATATACTAATAGTTAACTAATATATTAGTAAATGCTTTATTAACTCAACTTCATGCAGTTTTGTGACCTAATCTAAAGTGAGGACTATTCATGCTTTATAAATGCCTTATAAATGACTATTAAAGGCTCAGAATCAAATGAGCGATAATCTGTGCAATCTTTCTAAAAAGTAAAATTACTTTAAAGTTTAAACATTGCAAAATAACAGGAGTGTCAAAATATGACATCCAACTGGATAAAACAACAACAATATAATAATTTAACAATATAATAGGATGTAATGTTTAAACTCTACAGTGATTCTATTTTAGATAAGGTTGCAAAGATTTATTTTTCATTTGAAGTACAGTTTCATTTGTGTATCTTTAAATGAAGAGAAATTAATAATGTCTTTTTTTCCCGTTTAGAATTTAACTGAGCCTTTATTTGTCATTTATAAGGGATTTATAAAGCATGAGTAGTCCTTACTTTAGATTAGGTCACAAAACTGCATGACGTTGAGTTAATAAAGCATTTATTAACATATATAGTAACCATTAATATATGCCGGAATAATAAGACATATAAATGTTGACTTCATTAGTTTATTAATCATTTACTAACTCATTCTGAATGATCCTAAAAACCCTTAACTACTCTTAAATACAAACAGTTTGTAAATAATTCGATACTTAATTTAGTAATGAAAAATAAATCATTAACCAAGTATGAAAATACAATCATTAACCACAATATATAGGTGCTTATAAGTCAAGAATGGAGCATTTGTAGCTGCAGTTATAAACTGCTTACTAACACTTAGTAATGTAGAGTTAATGCTTCACAGATAATGAGTTCACTATTTGCTAATGCTTAATAAATCACTTATAGTGTGTAGTTATTATAAAGTGTTACCGAATATTTTTATCAATAAGTATAACCACACCTCTTGATTGCGATGTAAAGGAGCAAAAAAAGCTTGTCCAGGCCACTGCTTTTTAAGATTTAGATGTTCGGAATCAGTCAAGTGTGTTTCTTGTAGAAGGGCAATTCCAATTTTATAGCTTTCTGAGGTATAATATTACTTTTTTCTTTTAAGTCTGATTTAAACCGTTAACATTCCAAGTCACATATTTATATTTTAGTGTATCTGACATTAACTATATATTAATGTTTTATTTCCTATAGAGCGGCTTGAGAACATATTGTTAAACAGCCCAACACTTAAATAAATCAAATATGTGTTCTGTCTACTCCCCCCTACCACCACTTCCCCAAATGAAGTGTGAAACTTTAAACCCCCATGACTGAGTGTGCACTGCATCATACAGTCGACCTTGACTTCTTTTCCAAACTAAAAGCTCCCTAACAGGTTTTGTATATCCCCACAAATATTTAAATGATGTACTTTAAAGCAAACATATTAATCACAATGAACAAGTAATAAATTCGAATTATGCAAGTTAGTAAACATTTAAACAAAATAATAAACACATATTTCTCTTGCCAGCTTTTCAATTTAAAGATCCCTCCTGACAGAGTTAAGTTCTTTCATGTTCATCCGAGAGAAAAGTTATCCACCGTATATTTTTAGCATAGTTTGGTGTGGTTGCTCAGGTGACATTAGAGTTGGATGATCCGGAGATTGTACATATAATTTTAGTGTCTTATCCAAGAAGCAGATGTGGATGATGTTGTCGAAGGTATGTTTCTGCCTATGCTTTGGAGTTGAAAGATCTTTGTCCCTCCGGTAGCTGAATCCTCAGCGTTGCAGGATAAAGTACGGTGTAAGACAAATCGTTATTGCCTAGCTGTCTTTTGAGAGCGCTGAATTCTTGTCGCTTTCTAAACAGGGTGGATGACATATCCCGAAAAATCATAATGCTAGAGTTGCCATATGTGAGCTTTTCTCTGGCCGCATTGAGGATCTTAAGTGTGTCTCCGTACCAAAGGAATCAAACCAGAATAGCCAGCGGTTTGTGGTGCTTTGCTATTTTAAGCTATTAAAATAAACTGCGCTATTGACCAGCTAAAAGCAGGTCTAAAGTCTAGCGCAAAGCGCGTTAGTGCACCTTAAAAGCGGCTTAATACACACAGGATGTACAGCAATGCACACATATCTTTACAAATGAAAAATAATTAAAATATTACAACAATTCTTATTTTATCGATAAATGTAAAAAACACTGCTTCCATGCCTTCTTCGCATTGGCGGGTGTTGGGGGGGGGGGGGGTGATTAAGAAATAGTTTTGAAACAAATCTTTGTACTTAACAAACAAAATAAATAGGCTAATGGATGTCTTCAGTGGGGTGCGTACAACAGCGTTTCCATATTCATGAAAGTTAAGAAGTAAGAGTAAGTGAAGAGGCTGAATGGAGGAGGCTCACTCTTTATTCTCACTGCAGATGGTCTGTTCAACTGTTTTCTCGCGAGTAAAGCAGTCAGTTTTTCCATTCAATTTATCCACTTACAAAGTCACCATGTAAATAGCAAATGTGCAATGGCGTGACGCAACTGACTCTTAAAGGGAATGGGAGATGAGACCTTAATTGGTTTAATGCACATTATGCTCAAAACACACCCATATCTCATTAAGAGAACAAGCACAACCCTGTTAGACCATGTGCCGGTGCATACAGTGTATTTTTTCATACTTAAAATAGCAAAAGTGGATTTGGACACGCCCTTAATGCTTTTGTG